ATCTAGAAATGGCTTACATTTATATATAAGTATATATTATATACATAAATATATTTACACACACACATATATATTTAAAAGCAGGTGTTCAAAGTTGGTCTTCAGACTAATCTAGGCTATAAAAATAGATTTTGTTTATTTTTTCCAACAACTTGGACTAAGTACATATTTAATATGTAACAGTACTTTTTCAAAAAGTTGATGACTTCTATAGTATTCTCTTCTTTGGTTTTTGAAGAAATCTGGGCTTACTGAGGCAAAGGGTTTTGTTTATGATTAATAACAACACAGATGGCAAAGGCCAGGATTCAAAATGAACTCTTTCACCATTGCTATTCAATATAGTTCTGGAAGTTTTAGCTATTAGGCAAACAAAAGAAATCAAAGGGATACAAATTAGAAAGGAGAAAGTAATATTGTCCCTACTGCACATGATATGATCCTATGTATTTGGGAATCAAAAGACTCCACTAAGACTTCAACAACTCATAGGAGAGTTTGGCAAAGTTGTAGTTCATAAAAAATAAACACACAAAAATCAATAGCATCTGTATACACAAATAATACCTGACTGAGAAAGAACTTTTAAGATCATTTAAAATAGCTAACAAAAAATCAAATAATTTGAAATAAATTTAACCAAGAATGTGCAAGAGTTTTTCTACAATGAAAATTACAGAACATTAAGAAAGAATTAAAGACACACACACACACACACACACAAAAAAAAAAAACAGAAAAATCTTCCATATTCACAGATTGGAAGAATTAATATCACCTAAATGTCCATTCTACCCAAAGCCATTTACAGACTCAGTGTTATCCCAATCAAAACACCAAGGACATTCTTCTGAGATCTAGAAAAAAAATAATCCTAAAATTCATATGGAAACACAGGAGACACTGAATAGCTAAAGCAATCTTGATAAAAACAAAGTCAGAGGCATCATAATACCAGATTTCAAGACTTTCTACAGGATAGTTATAATCACAGCAGCCTGATACTGGCACAAAAATAGACATGTAGACCAATGGAACAGAGGAGAAACTCCAGAAATTAGTCTACACAGCTATAACCAACTGCTTTTTGACAAAGGAGTTAAAATCAATCCCTGGAGAAAGGACACTCCCTTTAATAAATGGTGTTGGGAAAATTGGATCCACACATGCATAAGTATGAAACACGACTCCTTGTATGCCTTATATAAATATCAACTCACAATGGAACAAGGATTTAAATCTATGACCTGATGCCAGCAAATGACTAGAGGAAAACATTAGGGGAACTCTGCAAACAATGGCATAGGCAAAAATTTCATGGTAAAGACCCCAGAAACACAGGCAATCAAAGGCAAAATAGACAAATGGGATTACATCAAGCTAAGAAGCTACTGCACTGCAAAGGAAACACTCAACAAAGTAAAGAGGCAACTGATAGAATGAGAGAAAACATTTGCGAACTATAGTCTGATAAGGATTAACATCCAGAATATATAAGAAGCTCAAATGGCCAAGAGACAAATTAAAAAAATGCTTAGGATCAGTAGCTATCAGGGAAATGCAAAGTAACCACAATGAGGTTTTACCTCATTCCAGTCAGAAAAGCTATCTCAGGACCTTTGTCCTCAAATAGTTTATTACAATTATGTCTAAGTGCTCACAAAAGATGTATCATTCTTGGGTGCTTCTTTAATGTTAATTAAGTTTCTTAAAAAATGAAATGAAATTAATTTTAAGATGCAATGACTTTGAATAGCTCTTGTCTAGGCTGTTACGGGACAGTTTTTTTTTTTTTATTTTGTGCAAATTGCTGAACTCTTTACTTAATATAGAATTGGTCTTCTGTGTATAAAGTTAACAAAAAATGGATCTTACTGGAAAATGGGACTGGGAATGTGAGAGGGAGAAAGAAGAGGGATGGGAGTGTGTTTGGGAGGATGGATATAGTGGGAAGAATCACTATATTCCTAAAGTTGTACTCATGAAATGCTTGAAGCTTGTATTCCTTAAATAAAAGGTTTCTGTGGAGAAAAATAAAGATAACAAAAAAAGAAAGGCTGTCACCCCCAAATCAAAAAATAATAAATGTTGGTGAGGATGTGGAGGAAAACTCTGCCTTAGTACACTGTTGATGTACAACCATTATGGAACACAGCATGGAGATTCCCCAGAAACCTGCAAATAGATCTTCCAAATGACATCTACTCCTGGGATTTACCCAAAGAAAACAAAATCATCATACTAAAGAGTTATTTATATCCCCATGTTTATGGCAGCTCAACTAACAATTGCTAAGATATAGAATCAACCCACACGTCCAAGCATTGATGACTGCTTTCTTTATAGAAATGTGGTAGATATACACTATGGAATACTGCTCAGTCATAAAAAACAACAATATACTGTCTTTCACAACAAAATGGATGTTAACTGGAGACCATTATGCTTAATGAAAGGAGTCAGTCCTCAAAAGACAAATAGCATATGTTTTCTCTGATTTATGATAGTTAATATAGTTACAAAAATGCGTAAAAATTAAATTGACATCTTCTGATTTGATTTTTGTTTATAGCCATTGTCTATATTCTTGTGGAATAGCAGTCTTTCTACTTTTTACTTGTTCAGCATTATGGTTAGTGTTAAATTAAGTATGTGATTATAAAGTAAATTGAAAATATGTTATTGTAAAAATAAAGAAAAACAGAAAGGAAGAGGGGAGGGATTGAGAGAAAAAAAGGTGAGAGGGATGTATAGTTATCTTTTTAGAATTGTACCTATGAAATATATAAAATCTGATCTCTTGTTAATAAAAAACAAAACAAAACAAATTCTTTGATTACAGAGAAAGCTTTCTTCCACTACTGCAATGAAGAGAGTATTTTTATACAGTATTATTCACTAGATACAAGACAAATTATTTTATATCAGTTGTAACAATGGGGGCTATGAAGTTGATAATACAGTTTTTTTGATACTCAGTAAAGGACTGGCTCTTGTGTTTAAAGTAATTTTGGGGCCGGCACTGTGGCATAGTGGGTAAAGCCGCCACCTGCAGTGCTGGCATCCCTTATGGGTGCCAGTTCGAGTCTCAGCTGGTCCACTTCTGATCCAGCTCTCTCTATGGCCTAGGAAGGCAGTGGAAGATGGCCCTGGCACCTGTGTGGGAAGACCTGGAGGAGGCTCCTGGCTCCTGGCTTTGGATCTGCAAAGCCCCTGCCATTGAGGCTGACTGGGGAGTGAACTGGTGGATGGAGGACCTCTCTCTTTCCTCTCTGTCTTTCTCTCTCTGTGTAACTCTTACTTTCAAATAGATAAATAAATCTTTTTAAAAAGTAATTTTGGTTTTATCTTATTAGAGAACTACAATTAGTGATTGTATCTATCACAGGGTTCATTTAACTCAAGTGGAAAATGCAAAAAAAATGCAAAAAAGTACATATTAGCAAACTGCTAATAAGCTTTTGTTAATCAGAAGAATGAAAGAAAGGATTGGAAATTGCTTTAGAAGGAAATGCCCTAATTTAGCATAGCTCTAAGAAATCTTTGTGTTAATGACCCAAGTGTGGTCATCCTGAGCCCTGCCAGGGGAGCTATTCATAAGCAACAGCAAAGTTTAGTCCCCAAACATTCACCTCTTCCACAAATCACAACTCAGCATCAAAGCATGCACATCGTCCTCCCTCCAGAACGTTCAAAGCTGCAGGTTACTGATTCTATTTAACATTAGAGTAAATTCTAGTTTCTTTTTCTTTTCACCACAGGAAATTCTTTACTATGTCTAACATTGCCTGAATGTGGTTTTTTGAATGACATGATCAATGCTTTTCTTTTTTTAAATTTATTTTTATTTTTTATTTTTTGACAGGCAGAGTGGACAGTGAGAGAGAGAGACAGAGAGAAAGGTCTTCCTTTGTCGTTGGTTCGCCCTACAATGGCCACTGCGGCCGGCACGCTGCGGCCGGTGCACCGCGCTGATCCGATGGCAGGAGCCAGGTGCTTCTCCTGGTCTCCCATGGGGTGCAGAGCCCAAGCACTTGGGCCATCCTCCACTGCACTTCCTTGGCTACAGCAGAGAGCTGGCCTGGAAGAGGGGCAACCAGGACAGAATCCAGCACCCCAACCGGGACTAGAACCCGGTGTGCCGGCGCCGCAAGGTGGAGGATTAGCCTAGTGAGCTGCGGCGCCGGCCCATGATCAACGCTTTTCAACTCAATATTAAGTTTTTTCATACTACTTTATAGAGTACAGAGGTGTGCATTATTCAGTCTTGATCCAGGCTGTGGTACTTCCTATGCAAGTTTCCTTAGGAAAATTAACTAACCTTGCTGAGAATAAAGGTTTAGAAAAAAAAAGACCTATGTCATATACCCGTTTTGGAAATAAAATAAGGTAAGGTGGATGGATAGAGAGGAAATGATGGATGGATGGATGGGTGGATAGATAGATACATAGATAGGTAGACAGTAAGATAGGGCTATCTAACGATAGAGCAAAATACCCAAAAGGCACTCAATAAATGTCATTTTCTCTTTTTTACCACTGAAGGAATATTTATGAATGTGTACTCTTGAGAAATATCCACATATGCTTCACTTCTGAGCTGAAGAGTTACATCTCCTCCAAAACCATCCTGTCCTGCTTTTCTGCCCACTTTCTGCCCATTCTCAGCCAGATATGTCTCCAGTATTCTCCACTAATCACTTATATATATTTCCTATATAGACCAATGCTTATATTTTATTGCAAGCATGTGTTTGTATTTTCTTCTGTCATTCATATTGGGCAATGAGCCCTATGAAGTGAAAGAAGAGATCTTATTTCACTTATTAAATCTAGTACCTAACATAGTGTTTGGAATATAATAAAAGCTTTGTAGATTTTTGTTGACTGAGAGAGAAAGGGAGGGAAGGGAAGGGAAGGGAATGATAAAGGAAGAAAAAAGATTTTATTTATGCTCAAAGGTTGCATAGTTAAGAGGTGGCCCTATAATATGATCTTACCCTTCCAGGGAGATGGCCCTTTGGAGAGTCACTGAAGGCTGACGGGTTGCAGTGCTGTGTTGGGAATGACTGCAAGAAAAGAGAAAAATAAACATGGATCATTTTTTAAATATACTTTTGCATGTTCTTATCAGCCTTACTGTCCAAAAAGGAGCAATCTTGAAAGAAATACAGTAGAGATTAAGTCTGATGACAAATAGAATCATCCACCAAATACAGCACTAACAGATAAACAAAGGGTTAATGTTTCCTTGTAGTTTATTTCTACATGTATTATTCAAAACTAAGCTTTAAATGATAGGTTGACATAAAAAGAAAAACATATATTTGGAAAAGGCAATTACCCCCCTCCTTTGGAATGAGATAACATGGAGCATAAGAACATAAATTTGATTATTCAAAGTGTAGAATATTTTTCCCTAACAAATTTTATACAGAGACCAATCTGCAAGTCGGAGAATAGTATTTAATGATTATAAATTTATTTATTAGTTCAAATTTGTACATTTGTAAATATTTCAGCTGTTTACTAAACATAAATATTTGAAAAATGAAATTTCTCATGACAAATCAGTCTTAGCACTTGTCCCTAGAGTTGAGGAACAATTTTTTTTCTTTTTACTATTTGTTGAATTCTTTACTTGGTGTAGGGTTAATCTTATGAGTACTAAATAGACTGAGAGTAGTTCATTGTAAAAATTAAAGGAAGAAATGGGAAAGGAAGGAGGAAGAAAAATGGTAATATTACTATGTTCCTAAATCTGTATATATGAAAAAGATGAAATTTATTCACCTTATATAATAAAAATTATTAAAACATTTGCCTTGCAATCTCAGATTATTCTTAAATTGGAAAGAAAATAACAGAAGAATCTTTCATCTGAATTGGGCATAAATAATCCAACAGCAAACTTTATATCAACGAATGTTAATTTCAGTTTGCAAAATTAGTTTAACACTTTAGTAGAGGGGTTATATATCAGTATATTTATACATTTAATATATGAACATGTGCATGTATACATACATAAATATGTAAAGAGAAACCCGAGTCACATGTTTCTAGAACATTAGGCATATTCACAAAGCTCCTGGACCTGTCAGCACAAACTTGGAAAACACTGACACTGTCACAGAGAGCCAAGTTGTGGGCTGCAGAGATTTTCATTCTGAGGCTTGGTCATTTCAGGGGAGAAGAGATGTCTCTGTGGATGATGTCTGTGTATGACATGGATAACATCTGTCTGTTGAGGCAGCAGAATTTTGACACTGCAGCTGAAGTCCAGAGAATGATCGTCTTCATATTAAAGATTATACCCTTTATTTCCTGGTATGCTTAACAGTGCCAAGCACAGCAATAATTCAATGAACATGTTTTGATCTACTAGTTGAAAAGCAGTAAAATATCTGAGACTTGGACCATGTAGCCAGACTGCCTCAGTGAGATCCCCGCTTGACCACACACACCAATGTGGCCTCACGTAAGTTATTTACATCACTCTGGATGCGAGCTTTTCATCTAATATTGGAATGGTGATAATATTTTCCCCATAGGGCTGTTATATGGATCTGATGCATATAGTACTTTGAACAATATCTGTCCATGGCAAAAGTTTTGCAAGTTTTTGTTAAGTAAATAAACCAAAATGATTTGGCAGAGTGTATACTTTAAAATGCTTAACAGTAAATAAAAATAGTTATTTAGATTACTTCAATTAGCCATACAGTGAACACCAAAAGTATACATTTCTTCAAATAATATAACTTTGAGCATAAGTATAAAATTAAAACAAATCCCCTATCACAGAAACATTACAGAATTAATGGAACTACAAAGTAGAAGATTTGGGGACCGGCGCTGTGGCATAGCAGGTAAAGCCGCCGCCTGCAGTGCCAGTATCCCATATGGGCACCGGTCGAGTCCCAGCTGTTCCACTTCCAATCCAGCTCTCTGCTATGGCCTGGGAAAGCAGTATAAGATGGCTCAAGTGCTTGGGCCCCTGCACCTATGTGGGGGACCCAGAAGAAGCTCCTGGCTCCTGGCTTTGGATTGGCGGAGCTCTGGCTGTTGCAGCCATCTGGGGAGTGAACCAGCGGATGGAAGACCTCTTTTTCTCTCTCTGCCTCTCTCTGCCTCTCCTCCTTTCTGTGTAACTCTGACTTTCAAGTAAATAAATAAATCTTAAAAAAAAAAAAAACAACAAAGTAGAAGATTTGGAGGGTAATCACAAGTCCAGAAATCTAACGTATATCATGAGGTCTACAGGTAATAAAGTTGTACTGAATAGTATGTGAGATTCATGCTGAATGAATAGATTTTAGCTGCTCTTGCCACAAATACAAATATAGGCAACTATGCAGTAGACACATTAATATGCTTCACTACAGCAATCTGTTTCTAATTATATGTATTATATAACACCATGTTTTAAACCTTAAATACACAGTGAAATCTGTTAAAATAATGTAAATAAAATACAAAATTAAAAAAATTACCCAAAATTCCATGATCTTCTCTCAGACTTGACAATTCTCTAATTGTCATAGCTTTCCATAGCTTGTCAAACCAAAGCCTGTCTTGTTGCCAAGTGTGTGCACTTTTCACACAATCTTATTTACTCTTGCATGGTTATAAATGCATACATAAGCCCATTTTCTATGTTTTTCCTAACACTATAATGTAAACATTCTGACACGGTCCCCATAATTATCATTGGGTTGTTACATAATGCTACTTCCTATGACCATATAACTTTCTTAAAACATCCTTTTATAGTGCATATTTGGGTTATTTATATCAGTTTAATAGTATAATCAGTGATTCAATGAACATGCTGATATCAATTACGTTTTTTTATCCTACAGTTTCCTTTAGATACATTTCTCCAAATAGAAACATATATTACATTCTTGATTAATGCCATTAATTATTTTTCAAAAGTTTTGTGCCATTTTATTGTCTCTAAAAATATGTATATGTACCAGTTTAACCAGTCATACAAACCCTGACATTTATGACTTGAAAAATAACTGAAAACTTAATAGGTGTAAATCCTAAAGGATTTCAATCAAAATTTTGAACACATGGATATTTTTATAAGATGTAATTATACTTTTACTTTACTTACACAAATACAAGGAAATTATCTGAAAGTCAGAACCTTCACATGCAGGTGAAATTTTTATATCCTGAGAGCAATGTCAAATCCATGCTTGTAGGTGGGTTACATGTAGCACATGTTAGGAGCTACCTGATGATGATAATAACTGTCATTTTAAAGAAAATATCAAATATCTTTCTTTGTGACCCAACAGATTCTGACTTTTCCATATTATTGGCTACATAATATGTTGTGGTACTGCTGTGACTAAGATATAATCCTCTTGGCTCTTTCACCTCCTCAGGAAGAGAGGCCAGCCAGATGGAATTCTGAGGAACAGCAGTAAAAGAAATAAGGGAGAAAAGCACAGGTGCAATGTGAAGCTTTCAATATGGGAGAACTAACTGCTTGGAATATCTTCATCCTAAAGAAAGCCAGTGCACAGGTGACTACCACCTTTCTTCTACCATGTCTAGACACGTTAGAAATCTCTTCTGTAAAGCATTTTATGATATGATGCATGTATCTCTGTACCCCCCAGAATAGTCAACTTACTGTTCTGTGCTACATCTCATTTTTCTACACATCCATAACAGTACTTAGGATTAGGCGTCGTGACTGTTTATTTATGCACCTGATTCTCCTCCTAAATTGTATATTGCTTTCAGTGTGAAGTGTTTCGCTTACTGATCTGTAAATTCTCAGCCTCTGGTTGACATATAAAAGATGCTTGCTACATCAAATTTTCTTGAATAATGAGTATCAAGGGTTGAGCTTCACCGATCTGAAAGGCCCCATGCCTTATATCTCTTTTAAAATTTTTGACAACATTGAGGGAAATTGAAGCTTAGATCTCCTAACTAGGGGAGGGCAAGAATAGAATCCAAGTTTGCCTAGACCAAAGCAAACTTGATCTTCTGAAACAAACCATGTTGTCCTACAGAAAGGTGAAATCAAAGCTTTGTGACAAGTCTCTATTGAAAATCCAAGATTCTGTTAGGAAATGCTGAACTCTCATTGAGTAACATTGACAGTTGTTTTCTTCTGCATAAAATACCATACATTATTTGTACTATGTATGTTCACCTTCCTTGTCAGTGGCTTTTGAAGAGTATTTTTATGATGATAACTTCATAAAGGGACTTCTCTGTGCAATCCACATCACCTCTTTAGTGACTTCTGCACTTCGTGAAGATTTGAGTGACAAGGCATGGTTGATGAGCAGGGTGAATGTGAGGAGGGCTCAGTGTCATGACACAGCACTGAGTTTGGGGCAGAAGTTCTTGTTACCTGGTGAAAAACCTGTAGCATCAGCTCCATATTAGTAGGCTGAGTTGCTAAATCAAGTGACTTTGGAGGTAAATTTTGCTAAGACTGTTTAAGATCCAGAAAGAAGTATCACATCCTTCTAAATCATGCTGTCACTGAGTAAAATGAAGCCAGAATACAGTAGTCTCCTTTCTAAGAACTATGTGATTATCCAAATGAAAAACTCCCAAGTTGTTGCCTAAGGAAACGACATTTGAATGGTGCTGAAAGATGCATTCCTATCGCTGTGTTACATTTTTTTGAGGGACCAGTGTTGTGGTATAGTGGGTTAAGCTGTAGCCTACAAAATTATCATCCCATATGGGCACTAGTTTGAGACCCAGCTGCTCCATTTCTGATCCAGCTCCTTGCTAATGTGCCTGGGAAAGCAGCAGAGGATGTCCAAGTGCATGGGTCCCTACACCCATGGGAGAGACCTAGAAGAAGCTCAAGGTCCCTTGCTTTGGCCTGGTACAGCCCCAGCCATTGTGGTCATTTGGGGAGTGAACCATTGGATGGAAGACCTTCTCTCCCTCTCTGTCTTTCCTTCTCTCTGTAATTCTGCCTTCAAATAAATAATAAATATATCTTTTTTAAAATTTAAGAACAAATAAATTTATAGCATCTGAACTGAAAATTTTCAATACACCAGAACACAAA